CCCGAAAAAAAAAACCCCCCTCAAAAAAAAAAAAAAAAAAAAAAAAAGCAAAGCAGCAGCTTCATGTTTCTTATCACGCTTTTACCTGTAGAGCCTACAAGACATTAATGTGCCTGTCTTGAATCAAAGTCTCTCCTTTCTCTTTATTGCAAGTTGCTATTTATTAATGTAGTAAGTTTCCCAAAATGCTTATTCGTTGACCATGGGCTGCCAACTTCTCTTCAGGACAGTGCCAGGCAGAACTACGTGGATTTAGTGTCCAGTTTGAGTTCTTCACCTGAACCCTCCAGCCAGGTGGAGCCTAGAGCTGACGAGAAACCAGCTGGGTATGAGACGTTGGTGGTGACCTCCGAAGATGGCATAACAAAGATCATGTTCAACCGGCCCACCAAGAAGAACGCCATCAGCACTCGGGTGAGGGCACCTCTCCTGGGAGCTGGTCCTAATGTACTTTTCTCTATTCATTTCAGTCTGAAACTATAGGGTCTCAGCATCATTCTATTATTGTGCTATCTCTTATGTAGAACTTGTGAACTTCGGGTGGCTTTCACATATCCAAAAGGCACTGTGACTTCCTGTGAATAGAAGCACAAATCAATTAGTATAAATGAAATATATGTTGATATAAGCGAATATGCACAGAGGCTCTCTCAGTCATATCACTTAAGCTTGAGTAAGTCATCTTCTGTTCATGTGGAGTTTTATTTTGTACAAGCAGAGGGGAGAAAAAAAGAAGATTTCACTAAGACATGGTATCAACCTAACTGTCCAAGAACAGATGACTGGGTTGAAAAGATGTGGCACATATACACTGTGAACTACTATATAGACATGAAAGCAATGACACCCTGTCATTTGATGCAAAGTGGATGTACATAGAAGATTTATGCTAAGCGAAGCAAGCCAGACTATGAAAAACAAAAATCGTATGTCCCTATTCAATATCTACTGAATGTCTGTACATTCATTACATACATTCATTATATCATGAAAAGATTCAAAGATATAATAACAGGGAGGGCAAATGCAGATACCAGAGACTGTATAGGAAGGAATGAAGAGTAAGAACTGAGGGGGAAGGGCTGAGGGAAAAAAATAAATTTAACAGATGCGAGAATGTAAAGGTATCTGTTGAAAATGACCTATACGGTGATATCTTTGACTTGACATTCACTACATGCATACTTTGAAAAACCATAATGTACACTGTAAAGATGTACAACAGCTAATTGCAGAACATCTCCTCCCCAAATTTTAATTTTACGCTGAAGTTAATTTTAATCTACATTATTAATAATCATTTTGTTGGGACCGGCAGGTGGTGTAGAGGTTACATTGCTGGACTCCCATGTAGTCGATTACAGTTTGAGTCCCAGACCTGGTGGCTTATTAAACTCCTGCCAGGCATGTGTGCATGCATGCATACCCAAAATCTTAAGAGGAGAATGGAGGAGAAGGGTGTGGCCATCCCCCTTTGAGGGTGATGTCTCGCTTTCTATCTCTCCCTCTCCAGTGCATGCATGTACCCTATACCAAAAATCTCTAAATAATAATAACAATAATAATAATAATAATTTTGTCTATCAAAAAAATATTAAAAGGATCTCTTAGATAGATCATAACCCGGTTTTGCTTTAAATGAGCTATCTCACCAGGGCAACTTTGGATCATTGAACTAGAATGGTAATAACATAACCGCTCAGCTCCTTCCCATTAGAAAACGTAGAGAATTAACTAGATGCTAGTGATGAAGTGGGAGTAAAATCTGAGAGGGTTGTAACTGTTGATTTTCTTCCTTTTTTTTTTTTTTAAAGAATTATTTATTTAATTCCACTTATTATTATTTTTTAATTTGACCAGAGAGAAAGAAAGGGAAAGTGAGAAAGCAAACTACCAGGTCCAGGACTTGAACCATGGTCAGCCTTGTGGGAATCCAGTGCCTCCCATGCCACCTGCCAGCCTTGTAACTATTGCGTTTCTAACCTGCATTGTGGTAGAAAGAATGCACTCACTTGAAATAGTCATAAGATTTCTAAGACTTTTCAAGTAGTTGGATGTATGCCATTCAATTAATAAAGCATTTAATTTTCAAAATTGTATTCCCATTTTCCCCTGACTCGTTTCTAGATAATACTAGTAAAAATAGCTGCTCCTTACTGAGTGTCTAATAAGTATCAGCACTTTCTACTCACAGGTTTATGTAATTCTCACAAGGAGCTTATTGTTACTATGAGTCAAAGTAATTAAACAGGTTAAGAAATAATTTGCTCAAGTTTATCTAACTATTTAGTAGGAAAACTAACTGACGACTCTGTGAATGTCCAGCTTCTAATCCTAGTGCTTGTCCGTCATGCTACCATGCTATATGGCGTCATAACTGCGGTAATAATGGAATCAGGTCCTGGTTTCTTCTGTTAGTGGAATGAATACATCTTTATTTATATATTGTGTGAAGTCCGGGCAGTTGTCTTTTCCTGCGTCTGTGTAATAATCAACCCTCTTCATCATCCTTTCCCGTATTGAACTCTCACCTAAGATCGAAACTGTGCCTGTTTTAAGTGGATTAAAAGTTACGGCAACAGGTCCAAGATTTTCAGAAATGTAACTGATTTGAAATTTGGAAGGTGTCTTCTTGGATTGCCATTACAGTGTTTTAGAAATCTCAGCCTTTGGGCATTTATTAACAGTGCTCAGACTACTCCAGACCTCTACACTTTTCTTGTCTTTTTTTTTTTTTTAAGAGATTTTTGCTATAGAGTGAGTGCACTTGTTGGAGAAAGAGACAGAAAGCGAGAAATCACCTGTGGGGGGGGTATGGCCACGCCCTAATCCCTTTTCTCCTTTCTCCTCGGATCTTGGGCACATAACACACACGTGCTTGGGTAAATTTTAAGCCATGAAGTCCGGAACTCTAACCGTGGTCGACTTCGTGGGATTCCAATGACGTAACCATTATGCCATTTGCTGGTCCCAACCCGCACTTTTTTGAAGTCACAACTGAGAAGTAGGTTCATGAAAATTTTCTATTCCCATTCTATCCACTGTTGGCACCTTCTAAAAGGTTCAGCTCTCTGCTGCTTCAAACTTTGCACTCCTTGGCTCCATTTCAGCACTTGGAATCCTCTGTTAAACCTCAAAGCTCAAGGACTGTTTTTTTGTTTGTTTGTTTTTTCTTTTTGAGAGGGTTTTGCTATAGGGTGTGTGCGCTCGCCAGACAGAGACAGAGAGACAGAAAGTGAGAAATCACCCCCCCAGAGGGGATGACCACGCCGCAATCCCTTCTCCTCCATTCTCCTCTTGGGATCTTGGGCATGCACGCACACGCGCCCGGCGTGAGTTTTAAGCCACCAGGGCTGGGACACGAACCGCGGTCAACTACATGGGAGTCCAGCAACATAACCATCACACTAACTGCTGGTCCCAAGGACTGTGTGTTTCTTGTTCACTTTAAGCATCTACCATAGCACTTGGTGCATAGTAATTGTAAAAGAAATGAAATTGTATTGGTTCACCTTTTCAGTTGTTTAAATACAGCCAACACGACTGGCACTTTGCTGAGAGCAGGCTTGTAGGCTGACATTTAGCGAATCCGTTGGTCATCAATCCTCATTTTCAGAGTTCTTTTTTATCTTCCCACTCACACAGATGTATGAAGAAATTATGCTTGCACTTAAAGCTGCAAGCGAGGATAAGTCCGCCCTAACTGTTTTAACAGGTAAGACATTTTCTTGGACTTCTTAATAAGTTTTCTATTTTCAGGGATTTCTTACTAGAGAGGAAATTGAGTAAAAAGCTCTAAGATCTTTTCTAGGACTGCAATACTCAGATTCATAATATACCAGAAAATAAAATGGACACAAGATATCCACTCCTTGACAATTACTCAAGATAAATTAAAATGTATGTCCACAAAACAGCTTTTATAAGAACAATCATAGTAGCCTAGTCACAATAGCCAAAAATAGAAAAGAATGCAAATATCCTAAAAGAAAGGTAAACTAACAAATTACTGATTAATTTATATGGTGAAATACTACTCAGCAATAACAAGGAATCGATAAGTGATAAACACAACATGGGTACATCTTTTAAACATAATTGAGCAAAATAAGACAACGCGAACATGCACACCTAGTGCTATTCCTTTCTGTACGTTTCTATGGTAGGCAGAAGCTCTAATCTATGGTGGTTAAAGTTAGAAAGTGATTGCCATGAAGACCAGAAGGTGGCGTAGTGGTTAAGGTGCTGAACTCCTGTATCGTTACCTGCAGTTTGAGTCCTGGACTTGGTGACTTGAAATTCATGGCAGGTGTTTGTAAGCTGCAGTCCAAAATCCCGAGAGGAGGATGGAGGAGAAGGGATTGTGATGTGGCCAACCCTCTTGGGGGGGGTGATTTCTCACTTTCTGTCTCTCTGGTGAGCACACATGCCCTATAACAAAAATCTGTCCCAAAATAAAAATAAAAATAAAAATAAAAGGCGTTTGCTATGGGCAGATGGGATGGGATGGCCATGAGGAGCCTACTGGGACTTTCTGAGATGACAGAGATGTTCTGTAACTGTTGGAAGTTGATGACCACACTGGCATTTCTTTATTTTTTTTTTTATTTTTTTTTTTTAGAGATTTTTGCTATAGGGTGTGTGTGCTTGCCAGAG